AGAAAGAGAAGAAAGAGAAGAAAGAGAAGAAAGAGAAGAAAGAGAAGGAAGAGAAGGAAGAGAAAAAGGCTAAGGAGGGTGTTTGAGGAAAGAGATTCAATTATTGCAATTCCAAAGGCTACTCCGAAGAGCATATGTGCAATCGAGCAAAATCGAGGTTTTCTTCTCCGTTTACGCTACTAGTAGCTTCTTGTTGCTAGTAGTGGCCAGGAGCGCCCCTAGTAGCGTCCTTGCTCCTAGTAGCGATGCCCTTTGCTCCTAGTAGGGTCCTCTTGCTCCTAGTAGCTAGGGATGGCCTCCAACCTACTTGCGAATTTCAGGCTTACCGACTTCGGTTTGGCTAAGATGGGCCTCCGTCCGCCTCTGAGGAATACCACCTCTACTGTAGTGAGTTTACAGTGGGTTTACTTGTTCAATGGCTGGATAGCTCTCCTTGGTTTTGTGTAAACTCAATGAGCACAGGCGAGTAAGCCAGCTTCAAACATTACTGTGTGCCAGTGGCTGAGGCCAAAATCTCACATCTACTATGTGTGGCACGCCTGAATACTTACCACCGGAGGCGAAGACAGCAGCAATTTTTGGTGACAATTAAAGAGAGGAGAATCTAGGACCCACATCAATCATGCGAAGGCTTCCAAGAACCTTTCGCCTGACCTGCATCCAGCCCTTCTTCAGAAGCTACTTGCTACTACCAAGCAGCTACTAGCTTCTTAGCCAGCTTCTACTAGATACTAGTTAGTAGCTCCAGTACTTTCTAGCTTCTTCTTACCGCCTCTTCTAAACGAGATAAAATACATGAAAATAAAATACACCGTGGCACATTCCTTTTTCTCTTGCCTAATGGGGTCTGTACATTGCATTGGGGTTCTTGTGCGTGTTTGGATCAGAGTATCCAGCATGCCATCGACGCGGAGTGACCATTCGATGCGAGGGTGATATAGAGTATACAGAATATGTAAATTCTTGTTACTAGTAGCGATGCCCTTGTTACTAGTAGTACGGCCAGGAGCCCCTAGTAGCGTCCTTGCTCCTAGTAGCGATGCCAGGAGCCCCTAGTAGCTTCTTGTTCCTACAGTATATATATATATATATATTCACACATTGTTAGATGGTGGGAATAGGGTGGACTGACAAGTTGCTAAAGTAGCTAGTAGGTTAGGTAGCTAAAGTAGACCTTGGGAAGCTACTACCGATTGGACGCGGCCCTTGCATGATTGATTTGGTTTCTAGATTTTGTGGGAAACTTAACATGTGCTATAAAATAGTAGTTATAGGCCCTACTATTTTTTACTAGACCCATACTGAGTAGCGAAGTGAATTTCGGTCTTCAGGGTGAAACATGTGGGTGACATGGTACTAGGAACAAGAACGCTACTAGGGGCTCCTGGCCTTACTAGTCGACAAAGTCTGCGCCGAAGTTCTCCACCCAGCCACCCTCAGCCGTGATCTGAAAGTTCTTGATGTTTTCCTGGTTGGGGTTTCTCTAGTGGGACCTCAAGTCTCTGGTGTGATGTGCAACTAGTTCATATAGCGTATAGTTCTTACAAACTCTTCAAATCGTTCAAATCTTTGAAGAAGGACATAGTTCTAGGTTCGGTTGGAGGCTGCTTTTAGGTTGGAGGCCAGATAGTGTTAACTTTTGGCTTGCCTCAACTCGGGAGGTTTTCAGACGTCAGTCCTACGCCTGTGAGCTGGACTGGCCTGGAGCCCGTGAAATGTCAAATTAGCATTCCTTAAACTCCAATTTCATCTTATTTTTCTGTTTCTTTTCTTTCATTTCTGCTTTCATATTCTTATTTTCTTATCCTATTTGCATTCCTTTCTCCAAAACAGTTTCTTTCTTCCTTCCTTATTCTTTTCGTTTCCCTCTTGCACCTGCAATGGGTCATTTTGGATGAGTTTGTAGGTGGTCCTGCGGCGTGCTTTTGTTCGAAATGCTGGAGGGGCGGCCTCCCTTCCGGGATCCAAATGAAAACAAGCGCAACACATGTGCGATGCTGACGTCCAGATGATCAGAGGTGTACAGCAATTCACAGTTGCATGTCGTCTCCTGAAAAATAGCCAGCACATCAGTCCTTCGCGCAGGTTGTTTCAGCTGATCATCGATGGCCGGTTTCGCTTTGAGTTTGTACAGACCCAAAGATACATTTTGTATGGCAAATGTTCTCAGATGTTTTATACGACACTGACATTCAAGGTGCACTCAGAAGAAGCTTCGAGCCTGGTTCGGCAGCTACTTACGCCGGACCTAGACATAAGACTGAAATCTGCTGCAGAGGTCAAGGTGCCGAATTGTTCACGAGATATGTGAAGCATTCTGAGAATCGTGAAAGACACATGTGAAGCCAGTCTTCAGACATTCAAATGAAAAACATAGAGTCTACCTTCTGGAGCAGGCAAGCCCTTGGCTTGCGAGCATTGATTGGGACACGGCTTTGAAGCTCGGGCTACAACCCCCTTTCAGGCGCTAAAGAGAAGAGCCGTTTTTCTTGGGGGGCGCGGCCATTGCTAGTGGATGTTCTGTATATATAGATGTTTCTTTCTTCTTTCGATTTTTACAGTATTGTAAAGAAGCGTGTCACAGAATGAAAGTGAGCTTGTCAAGCAAGCCTTTTGCCAGCCTCTTGTACTAGCTCGAAAAGAACACTTAAGGCATTTCGTGTTGCAAACCACTTTAGCAAACTAGCAAAACACTCAAAAAAGAACCCGTTTGTGTTTGTTTGCTCAAACAGACGTGTTTCCGAAACGCTGAAGCCATGTTTTCCGAAGAGCCTGCCCTTGAAACGTCAGGCCATCGATGACCAGGAAGTGCTGCTCACCAAGGCTCAGGCAGGTAGCTTGCAAGTCTTCGATGGATAAAAGGAGAGGAACGATGAGGAAAACAACAAGACCTCACAGTAGTAAGTCAGGCCCCTGTCATGAGAGCCTTATCAAGGGGCCCTTATCTTCGATTTTCTCCTATTCTTTTTTTTTCCTTTCCCTATACAGGAAGGTTGAGAGTTCCATTGGCCGCAATGGGCACGTTGCAGGACAAAGCAGGCACCTCCACAAACCAGGAAAACACAAGGTTCTCGCTTGGAGGTTCTCAAGGTAACCTGACGCCACACTCAACAACTTTAGGTTCTTACAGAATCGCACAGAGTACATAAATGATGCTTCTAGATTGAGGGTTCGCGTTTGCAACTCCGGCAGTTTCCGTGAATCTCAGACGTGTGCAATCCTTGCGCAGGGTCGCAGAATTTGCTGGGCTGGATCGTCGTTGTTTCGTAATTACAGTGCCACGAGCGTTTCTTGACTTAGAGTTCACTTTTCGTGGCAGGCAAATAGTTTCACTTGGGATATGGGGTGCTGCAAAATTAAGTCTGACAAAAGGACATGATCATATATTTATTTCTTATTTTCATGATGTTTCTTGAAGGTGGTTGTCTTTGAGAGCCGGCCCACAGCCCAGCCAAGTGCTTTGAAAGCGTGGACGTATTTGAGCAGCGCATGTGAGACGACGCGGCAACGGGCAACGGTCGCGACGCTGCGCAATACCACCCGTACGTTGTGGACAATGCGCGAAGGTATGAGTTGTTTTTTTGCTCTGTTGTTTACGCCATGCGCCATGCGTCCAAAGAAAGGACCTGAAATCGGCAGTAGGTTGGAGTCCATCGCTCTTTGGTTGAAAGCATGCCACACCACACTGCTAGCAGAAACCGGCACTCACACTTTCAGTTCTCAAGGCTGGTGTATGCGGGGTAAGCAGAACACTACCCATAGCAAGGCAGTATCAGTAGAACTCTGCCTGTGTTTCTTTTTTTGCAAAGTGGTCTTATGTTTTTGTTTGGAAGTCGGACTGCTTTGGGAAAGCTTGGAAGTTTTATTGAATGGACAAATAAAACGCTATTTGTAGGTCAAACAGGTCTAACGACTCCTTGCTACATATTGATACTGTGAGTTGCGTGCCACGCATACTGTGGATTTGAGTTCCTTTCGCGTTCGCCCGCCTCAAACCAGTGGAGGGCTGACGCGTCTCGTTGAGCAATGGCTCCGTGAAAAGCCGTGTGCGCAGCGGCTACTCGTTTTTGACGTCGACTAGGACTTCGTTTGCCTAGCACTTGGCAGCCATCTCCCTACCAACATTGGTAGCGGAGCTCTGGCAGCTCCATGCCACCTCCGAGCGATGGACCTACAGCCTCGGGACCATCGGCTACCTCTTCAATGGCTGGGGGCACCATTGAAACGATGAAGGACACCTACATCCCCGTGTTCAACAACAAAGTGTCCGACTACAAGGAGTGGCGACAGCGAATTATGCTGTACAAGAAGAAGTTGGCGTTGCAGGGCAAAGAAAAGGAGGCAACGCTCAACTTGTTGACCAGTCTCCATGGAACAGCTTGGAAGCAAGTTGAACATTTGGTTGAGAGTGCAACCGAAGCTTCCAACGGCTTTGAGAAGGTGTTGGCTGTCCTGGACTCGGCCTTTAAATACGACAATCGTGTCGAAATGCCAAGAGCTCTCGAGAAGTATTTCTACCAGCTCATGAGGAAGGGAGACCAAACTCTCCTTTCATACTGCTCGGAACACAGAGAGTTGTTGAGGGAGATCGAACGTCACGGTGTTCGTATCCCTGATGGCGTTTCTGGCTGGATGCTTCTTCGACGGAGCAACTTGACGCCAGAGCAGCGAACCCTCGTGCAAACTCAGGTCGGTGCCGACATGCCAGCTGCGAAGGTGGAAGAGGCCATGTACTACCTGTTTGGCCAAGACTTCAAGACTAGAGCTGAGCATCCGAAATGGCAGAAGAGCACGAAGGGCAAGGGTCGCTGGTATCCCCGTAAGAGCCAACAAGCCTATGCTGCAGACGACTACGACCTTGAGTATGAAGAGGACCCTGAGGAAGGCTTCGTCCAGAACGATGAAGAGGCCTATGACGATGAACAGGCCTATGAGGAGTTTGAGGACTTTGAGAACCCCGATGACGAGCACTACTACCTGGATGAAGGCTGGGGTGATGAGCCAGACACCCAGTTGGAGGAGGCTTATGCCACTTACCTTGATGCTCGTCGACAGTTTGCCAACCTCAAAGCAGCACGTGGATTCTATCCCGTTGTGGCATTGACAGGCTCAGAGCTGCCTACATCATCGAGTTCCTCGACGGCAACAACACAGCGCCCCATCATGAAAGGGGGAAAAGGGAAGAAAGGAAAAGGAAAGGGTAAGTCACCACCTCAGAAGGGCTCAGCACTCATGAGAGGTCGCACTGCTCTGGACACCATGCAGTGCTTCAAATGTGGACGTTTTGGACATGCCGCAGCTGAATGCCCGATGAACAAAGGTTCACAATCGCCAAAGAGGGCAAAGACTGAATCCACCACGAACAAGGCGACTGGCCAGGCCTACAGGGTGCAGGAACATCAAGCCTACATGATGCACGATCTTCGTGATCAGGGCTTGCCTCCCCTTTCTGAACAAGGTTGGTATGGCCTGCAAGATGGTGGAGCTAGCAGTATGGTCTGTGGTCATCAGACGCTGATGCAGATCATCGAGTACATGAATGGGTGTGGAGTTCCACTTGAGCGCTACACGTTCCACCCCACGACCAAGCTCTTTGGCTTCGGTGGAGACGCTATGCGGAAGGCTGAATGGACAGTGAAGCTTCCGGTCTATGTCAACGGCAAGTCTGGCATCATTGAATGCTTCCTGGTGGATGGCTCAACTCCCTTGCTGGTGGGCCGACCCATCCTGAAGGCTCTGAAGGTCAGGGTCGATTGGGACAAAGACCTCATCAGCTATGGCACTGAAGACTGGCAGCCTGCTGTCAGCGGGGAGCGGGGTGAGTACTTGCTTCGCTTGGATGATGGAGTGAGCAATGATCCACAGGGCAACAACGTTGACTTTGACCTGGTCACGACGGAGACCTTCGAAATGGTGCAGAGAGAAGGGATCATGCACACCTCGACCTACACCCTCCTGCAATACCTGGAGGCAACTGGACGTGATCCCCCAGAGCACTGTTTGAATGCCGAGGATGATGACAATGCCACTGAAGAGGAGTCCATGGAGAACGCACCATGCAACAGGTTGCGCTTGTGAGAAAGGAGATTACGGACAAGTTGCTGCGTGGCATTCGATTTCATCATGCCACCATGTTTGCACATCGCCACACCGTTCTTGAGCAAGGACTTCGAGCTCATGAACAAGGAGTCAAAGTGTTCTGGGAAGTCTACTCTGGAGAGGCCGGGCTGTCCCTGGAAATGCAACGAAGAGGATACATGGTCTTCAGCTTTGACCTCAATACTGGATGGGACTTTGACTGCCCCGACCACAGGAATGCCTACTACAAGTTGTTGGAAGACATCTCTCCCGACTTCATCTGGATTGCCCCAGCCTGCAAGAAATGGTCAAGAATGCAGGCATTGAACACCTTGACTCCGGAACAGGAGTTCGCCCTCCAATGTGACCGAGATTATGAAGAAGCAGTTCATCTGAAGGTTGCGGAACGTTCGTTCGCACTCCAGTACAATGAAGGAAGAGATGCTGGCATTGAGCACCCCCTTGGCTCCAAGGCCTGGGAAACGAAGACCTGGAAGAAGCTGCCTGGTTGGCCTTGTCTCCTGGACCAATGCGCCTATGACACAAAGATTGCAGATTTCTTCGTGAAGAAGCCCACTCGACTTCAGCTGACAAGTGCATCAATGGTGGACTACTTGGCATGGCGCTGTCCCGGAGACCATGAGCATCTTCCCCTGGAGGGCTCAATGCCCGGTATTGGCTCTTTGACTAAGGCGGCCGGAGCCTATCAGCCAACCTTCTGTTATCACATCGGAGAGGCCATTGACCTGCTCTACTATGAGCCAGAGGATTACGCCGCAGCAGCTGCAGACATTGAAGATGAAAATGAGTACACACCGTCAAATGCGCCCTCAGTCATGATCGAGCCCAATGACGCACCACAGTACCCAAGAGAGGATGATCATGAAGATCAAGATGATCAACTACCCCCAGAAGAATCTCGGGTACCAGAACAGGCCACTGGCGTACTCCAGCGACTGCACGCGGCAGACCGACAACAGGCAAAGAGGACAATTAGCCGGCTGCACAGAAACCTGGGACACCCAACGAATGCCGAATTGTGTCGTCTACTGCAGATGAAGAGAGCCTCAGATGTCCTCATGGAATGTGCAAAGAGCCATGAGTGTGCCGTCTGCGCCCAACATCAACGACGACCACAAGTACCTGTGTCTTCAGTCCCCAATGCCCAGGAGTTCAACAGCAGAGTTCAAGCAGACACGCTGTGGATTCGTTTGCCGAACATCCGGAGAGCACTACCTGTCCTCATGATCAGCGATGCGGCCACTCGCTTCTTGGCAGGACGTGTTCTACTTCGAGAATCCCCTGAGGAATTTGTCCTGGCATTGGAAAGGGCGTGGATCAGAAACTTTGGCCCTATGAAAACCCTGCAAGTGGATGACCACCGAAGTTGGGGCTCGGACTATGTGCGATCCTGGTGCTCAGAACAAGGAGTCACCCTGCATGTGTCCCCTGGACAAAGCCATACTAGATTGGCCATCTTGGAAAGGAGACATCAGGTCACCAGGCGAGCCCTTGAACTCTACTTGTGTGACCAGGAGCAGAGTGATGTGCCCCTACCTCATGAACCACGAGAACGCCTGATCCAAGCGCTATGCTATGTGATTCCCCAGCTCAACAGAAGCACCAATGTGAGGGGATACAGCCCAGTGCAGTGGGTCCTTGGATACACACCACATGTACCTGGACTTCTGACTGAAGAGCCACTACCACCGCCTACACTGGAGCCTTCAGAAGAATTCCTCAACAAGCTCAAACAGCAGAAGGCAGCTGCCAATGCCGTCTTCTCAGCAGATGTAGACACTCGTCTCAGAAGGGCATTGAACAGGAAATATACTGGTCAGCTTGCCATCTTCCACCTCGGCGACCTATGCTACTACTACCGAGACGGACCTGGTGGCATCGGCCCTAAGCTGAGATGGAGAGGCCCCGCAAGAGTGATCATGGTGGAACAGATCGAAGCTGGACCACACAGCACCATCTACTGGATTGTCCACGGCACTAACCTTCTGCGAGCTGCCCCAGAGCATTTGCGCCCTGTGCCTCGAGAAGTTGAGGAGAAGAGGACGACAGAGGATCCGTTCTTCAAGGCCCAGCAGGCATTGCAGGGGGTCAAAGGCCGAGGAACCACACTATACACTGACCTCACAAAGAGCAACAAGAGGCAGCGACATGAAGTTTCAAGTGGAGATGAAGAGGAGGAGTATGACCAGGATGCTCTGGAGCCAGATGAGCCAACAGGGTTGCAGGATGTCTGGCAGGTGAGTGATGATCAGAAGGTTTGGACAAGGATCCACAACTGCCCAAGAAGAGAACTCTATGTTCCGGACTCCAACGAGGACATCCCCATGTACCGGTTCAGTGATGAAAGGGTCACAACAGTGAGAAGACCTCCACCGCACCCTGAAAGAGTTCAACTTCGAGATGAATGGAGGAGGATTGATGCTGGAAGGTCCCTGCGTTACACCTGGACTGGGACAACAACCTTCACCATTGAAGGAGACCATGAATCAGACCCTGATGAGGTGATTCAAGAGATATTGCGAGAACCAGAGGAACCACCAGATCCTGAGGATCCTGGAGAGAACTCAGAGAACCTCCCTCCAGAAAACTCAACAGCCCTGCCTACCTCAGCTCCAGGCTCTATGACGGAACCTGTGCAGAATAGAAATGAGAGCGCACCACCTGCCGAAGTTCCTGAAGTGCCAGCACATCAGAAGAGACTATATGAGGGTCCCCATGAACCAGAGGACTTCAAGGCTCAGCGAACGAGGGTCGACAAACAGGAGACCTTGTCTTTCCTCCTGAAGCCCCGCGTGTATGGACCTGTTCGATCAGAAACATCAAGGGCATCACCCTATGACCCTTCGCCAGAGGAGACCGAGATGCAGATTGACATCGATCTACAGCAGATCACTGATCTCCCACCTGGATGGCACATCGAACAAGGATGGCTATGCCTAGACGCTCCAACAGATGAATGGGCCCTTGAAGGCAACTGGCTGATTCGGAACCACTATGTCCCAAGGAAGAGCGGCTTCAAACCAACACTGGAAAATTGCCCCCTCGACCTGAGCTACTTGGCAAAAGACCGAGTGACATCTACCTCTCATGGCACCTTCAAGGATCGATGGAAGAGGCATAGCAACAACCAGATGATCGAAGAAGCCTACTGGACGGGACAAACCAGGTTCAAGATCAAGCCCAATTGGAGACAGAAGGCGCAGGAGGACTACAAGAAGGCCAGCAACGGGTTCAAGACCCTTCGGTCGACTGGAGATCAGCCCTTAGCAAAGAAGAAGAAAGGCCGTGACGAGGTCTATGAGCGCCACATGTCCGTCGCCGACAGGCAGGCCTTCATGCAAGCAAAGATCAAAGAGCTGGAGAGCTTCTTCAAGAATGAGGTTTGGCTCTACGATCAGGAGCAGAATGCAGACCCCTCCAGAGTCCTCAAGGCCCACTTCATCCTGAACTGGAAGAAGAATGAAGATGGATCCCCAAGAGCAAAGGCAAGATTCATCACCCAGGGTTTCAAAGACCCTGATGCCCTCTCCGGTGCCTTGACAACAAATGCACCGACACTGACCAGGCTTTCAAGAGGGATGATCCTGTCGATATGCCAGATGAACCGATGGCATATGTTCACCAGTGACATCACAACAGCCTTCTTGCAAGGAAAGAACTTTTCCGAAGAGTCCAATCGGGTGATCTGGATCAAACTTCCAAAGGATGCCAAAGCACTACTTGGCCTCGACCCTCAAGACTCGACGGTGATGAAACTGATCAAGCCAATGTATGGTCTGTGCGATGCACCAAGAGCATGGTATGAAGAAGCCAGTGAAAGGATCCTACGTGCTGGAGAAGGGAACATCCACCGACATCCATTGGACCCATGCCTCTTTATGGTCTACAAGCCTACGACCAAAGAAGCCATGCAGAACCCCAACATCGAAAGAGAATTGGCCTGCATCTTTGGGATCCATGTGGATGACTTGGTAGGATGCGGAGATCCCCGTGATGATTATTTCTTTGAGGTGAAGAAGAAGCTGCAGGAGATCTTCACCTTCCGTGAATGGCAGGACGGAGATAAGTTGGAGTACTGTGGAAGTCAAATCAATTGTGAACAGGAGAATGTCATCTTCCTGAACCAGTATGACTACATCCACAAAGTGAAGCCCATTCCAATCCACAAGGAACGACTAGCAGACCCAAGTCTACCAGTGACGGAGAAGGAAAGAACACTCCTGCGAGGATTGGTTGGAGGGCTACAATGGCCAGCAACACAGAGCTCGCCGCATTTGCAAGTGTGCATCTCGCAGCTAGCAGGAGAAACAGCCAAGGCCACGATTGCCACTCTGCAGAAGGGCAATAAGCAGCTGCGCTATGCAAAAGAGTATGCAGATGTTGGCCTCCAATATCGACAGTTGGGTGACAAGGAGAAGATGACCTTCATCGCCTACAGTGATGCCTCGTTCGCCACAAGATCCGATTTGAGCAGTCAAGGTGGCTACATGCTAGCTATGTGCCATCGTGATGTGGCTGAAGGCATTTGCGAGGGACACTACAATGTCCTGGACTGGCGAAGCTGGAAGTTGCCTCGAGTATCCAGGAGCACTCTCTCTGCCGAGTCTCAAGCGGCAAGTGAAGCGGCAGATAGCCTGATGTACACCACGCTCTTCTGGAACCTCATCTACCGCCCGTTGATGCCCTTGGACAACGTCCAAACTGGAGCAATGGCCAACAGCCCAAAACTGATCGTCGATGCAAAGGCCCTCTATGACATCCTTGTAAAAGATGAAATTCAGGTTGCAACAGGGGCCGACAAGAGGACGACAATCGAAGCTTTGGTCTGTCGTGATAAGCTGGCCTGCTGCAACGGCAAGGTGCGATGGGTTTCATCCGAGCTGCAATATGCCGATGGTTTGACGAAAGAATCGGCAGCTCCATTGCTTGGACAGAGATTGAGGAGTCACATGACGAAGCTCACCAGTGATGAAAGTTTCCAAGCATCCAAGAGGAAGAACATGGCCAACAGGAAGAAGGGCGAGAACATGTATGCATTGAAGAGGCCCGAACGAGCACTCTATGCGATGTTCGCCACCTACTTCATGAACAAGGTGGAGGGCACAAAGATCTATGAAATGGAGCCAATGAATGAGAGCACATACCATGCCATGGTCGAGAATGATGTTTTCGACTACCTCATCATGATCTTCACAACAATGCTGCTTGGCATTTTGGTATGGCTGTGCATCATGTGCAGCAGTGGTTGGACTATCACCTGGACTCCATGGATTACAAGTTCAGGAACCACAACCGGGACAAGGACAAGTACCAGAGAGAGCAGTGCACAAACAGACCGGACTGGTCTAGAGGAAGAGCGCCTCATTCAACTGAGGAAGAGCAAGGTGAAACTGACTGATGAAGTCGCACACCTGCAAAATGAATGGGCACTGGCAACACAACGCCTACATGATGAGCGACAGCAAGTACAAATCTCGCACAGGAATTTGATGAAGCTGAAGGAGGAGCAAGAGACCGTGCTCCAACAGAAGCTGAAGGTGGCAAAGCAGAAGGCATCGCTGAAGCCGATCTACCTGGCTAGCATGGGAGGCTGCTGGCATGCTAGGAGAGCTTGCGTAGCCCAGAGGACGGCCAATTTGGTCTATGAGAGGCAACCATGTAAGGCATGCTCACACCTCTATCTAGAGGATTGCACACCTCAAGCCCCAATGGATGGAGTGCACTGGTCCGAGTACACCCATGGTGACCTCACTGGAACTGCTACCAGCTCCACAACAGAGTGGTGAAGCTCATGATGACCTTCGAAGCCACAATGCACGATAGGCACTGAAACTCTTTTCCACCGATGTGAGTTGCGTGCCACGCATACTGTGGATTTGAGTTCCTTTCGCGTTCGCCCGCCTCAAACCAGTGGAGGGCTGACGCGTCTCGTTGAGCAATGGCTCCGTGAAAAGCCGTGTGCGCAGCGGCTACTCGTTTTTGACGTCGACTAGGACTTCGTTTGCCTAGCACTTGGTAGCCATCTCCCTACCAACAGATACAAACTGTTTAGCACTGACGCCTCATTCTTGAGGAGAAAAAGACAACAATCAGTAAGAAAGAGGCTCCACAAGAAAAAGAATAGACCTGCCATCGCTATTAGGTTGGAAGCCATCGCTTCCAGGTAGGGGGGCAGAGCGGCCTTTAAACAAATCCTTTCATGTGCAAGAAGCTAACAAAGAGCATCGCTACTAGGAGCAAGAAGCTACTAGTAGCTCCTGGCATTACTAACTAGTAACAAGGTGCATCGCCGGCATCGCTACTAGTAACAAAAGCATTTGGGTTATATGTTTTCTAATTCTTCCTGGACTCGGTCCGCCAGCGCAGGCCAAGCTCTCCTGAAGTCGCCTCAATTGGCCTCCACATCCAGGGCTTCACGTTCCCGGAATGAACTTATGCGAACATTAATCAAACAATCAATTGCGCAATTTATTTCAATATTTTTTTCTCATTCGGGCTCCTGGCATCGCTACTAGGAGCAAGGACGCTACTAGGGGCTCCTGGCCTTACTACTAGTAACAAGAAGCTACTAGTAGCAAAATGGATCAGAAGATTGATGAACCGAGGTACGTCCCGGAAGCAAAGACCCTGTCTGACAGGACAGAATTGCTTCTGAGAGAAACATAAACCATGTAGGAAACCTGTTGAACGCCCAGCGTTCAGTTTTCCAAAGAACGTCTATATAGAGGGCTTCAAGACACCACAACAATGTGGCAGGGCCCTAGAAGAATATCTCCTTTGATAGAAGATGTCCCAGACCAAGTCCACAAGAAGACTGCAAAGGTTGACGTTTCATTGGGGTGTTTCTTTTTTTCTTGCATGAATAAGATCACTAGCCTTCAATGAGAACCACACAGCCAGCAGGTATTTTTTTGAATATGTGAATATAGCAGGCAGAGTGCTTTGTTCTTTTCGGACTTGGCTTGGACTCTCAAGTGCTGTGCTTGAACGCAACCCCAGCAATGCCTGGATCGATCTTTGGACCTGAACCCCCTGCCGTTGATAGCACTTGCAAGTTCAGCCTCCAACCCAAAAGCAAAAGGAACCTAATAGCAATGGCCACCCTACCTAGTAGTACTCAGGACCAAGGAGTCGTTGTGGTGAATAGTGACCGTAATAGCCCATAATGCTGCCAGGGGTTTCAGAAGCTTGCAGTTCAGGCAGATTGAGATATTCGATCTCCATTTTGCTAATTCAGGAAACATTCTTCAGACTCATTTTTGATTTCTCGGCTGGCCAAATTGGCGAGTAAGTCTGACGACAAGAGCATGTCCCTCACTTGGGTTGGGGGACTCTTTTGCCGCTCTGCTGCCAAGTGAGCCAAGTTGCGTAGAGCCGTCTCACCACCGAACTCGAGGGAAGCGGGAGGCCAAGTGGTGCGCTTGGCATCGCTACATCCCTTGGACCCCAGAGTTTTGGAGGATCGGCATTCTGTCAGAAAGGATCGCTCGTCGGAACTGCATGAAGGGACGAGAGAGAGAGAGGGAGAGAGTTTCATGCAGTGCAACAATACTTTATTTGAAGCCTTAATAGCTGGTGGTACATGGGCACAAGCAACAACATTCAAAGCGCGCTAATCAGATGATGCCAGTGATGCAGTACTAGAGCGTAAGCATTTCTTGCATGTTGTTTTGCAACCACCACAACAAGGAAAATGCAAAGTTCACTGACAATGAAGACGCGTGCCATTAAATCGGTTCACCTTACGGTAAGTTAAACGCAGTTTCATGATGCTGCAGAAGGTATAAGAAGGTGCTCTCGTCATGTAACTTTGTGGACACGTCAACACAAATCATGACCTGCAATGTATGCATGAGTCATAGGATCTTCTAAATACAGATGAAAGGCTAGACCCCGCTTCTAGGTTAGAGGCCATCTAGGAGGGCAGAGCAGCCCTTTAAAGATAGACATCAAATCACGGTGGGCTGGACTCATGGAAGGCTGGACCTCAAGAAAGACTTTCTTTATGCTCGCGACTAATCTCCATTAGGCTCTAAGAACTTTTGCTTCTTACACAAGCTGTTGACTTGAAATTGTACTAAATTTGAGAGGTATTACCAGCACACTGACCCCGCATCCCCCACGCCTGGAAAGCTTTCAGCACTCTTTTGCTCGCTCTCAACGCTGTGTTTTTCTTACGTGCAGCAGTTCAACCGTCCAAAACCTTCCCCGGACGTGTCTCAGGGCAGGGTGCACGCATGGCCACTGTGTTACCCGCATGGCCTTCAGTCCTCAGTGTCCGGACTTCTCGCATCTCTCGGACCGCGCGCCGCGCCCGCCTTTTCTCGGTTGGAGGCTATCGCTACTAGTAGCGATGCCAGGAGCCCCGTTCGTAGCGTTCTTGCTCCTAGCAGTTGCGGAGTGTTGGGGCACTGTGGTCTGTGGAACAGAGTTGCTCCGTCGTTTGCATTTGTTTGGGCCACTGGATGACTTCAACTCATTTCTGCAAGTCTCGGAATGTTCTTTTTGCGCAGTTTTTTTGCAAAAGCGTTGGTCGAGGCCTTTTCTTTTGGCTTATTTGTCAATTGTGCTTGAATCTTGAGGGTCGAGAACGCGAACACGACGCGGATAATTACACATGCGCCACAACATGGCGGTGCAAGAGTGAGTTGGGTTCGTGTTGGAAGCGCTGTGCCTCCTCAGTGTTTGTCGCGGGCTTTGTGCGACTGCTGGCCCATGTCTGTCACCTTCACCACAAATCAAAACAATAGTCAATAGTAGCGTCCCTGTTCCTAGTAGCGATGCCAGAAGCCCCTAGTAGCTTCTTTGTTACTACTAGTAAGGCCAGGAGCCCCTAGTAGCGTCCTTGCTCCTAGTAGTGATGTCAGGAGCCCCTAGTAGCGTCCTTGTTCCTAGTAGTAAGGCCAGGAGCTACTAGTAGCTTCTTTGTTACTAGTAGCGATGCCCTTTGCTACCAGTAGCTTCTTGGCTTGTTTCTTTCTGCCTTGTCTCAGCTTGAAACCTTCGGCTTTGGCTTTAGAGATGCTGGACCTCAAGGGGTGCCTCAAGGGAAGGTGTGCTTTGGCCATTAGCCTTGCCTCACCCAAGATCACTTGAGCTTTGCGATCACTCCTCGGTGCTGAAGGGTTCAATTGAACAGCGACTTGGGCGTCCGCCAATTCGTTGTGGACAAGACGTCCACGCCCCTTTTGCGCGCAGCGGCTCTGCTCGATGCCGCTTTAGGCCTCTCACACCACTTGTCCTCCCGCTACGACCAGCACCACGGTTGGCCCCAACTTGTCCACAGCCTGCCGTCTCCAAGTGAGCGTGCCATCCAACCCCCGCCTCCCAGTTCTATGCGGCTTTTGCTCCGTTTTGGGTGGTGCGGTGGGCTGGTGGGTCACGCTGTCGCCCCGGTGAGAAGGCCACGTGGCCCTGAGCTCGGGCGCTCAGCGGTTCAGGGGAGCGCCGTCCGCACCCAGTCCGAACCTCCTAGTAGCATCCTTGACTTGCTCCTAGTAGTACGGCCAGGGGCCCCTAGTAGCTTCTTGTTCCTAGTAGCGATGCCAGGAGCCCCTAGCGTCCTTGCTCCTTGTGCACTCCTACGCGGTTGTTCAGGTGCGCTACCCACTTGCCCTGGCCTGCGACCCGCGACGGCTGTCCAGTGTGCCGAGCGTGGTCAAAGCCAAGTTGCTACATTTCAAAATCGACGACATAGAACTTTCTGACCCGGTGGGTGCAGGCGTGGACAGCCAAAGACTTTTTCGTCCAACGCCAACTTTGAATTCACTTGCAACTAGTAACAAGAAACTACTAGTAGCTGAGTGCATCGCTACCAGGAACAAGTGCATCGCTGTTAGTAGCCAATTTTTTACTAGCGAACAAGAAGCTACTACTAGAAGCGATGCACTTAGCTACTAGTAGCTTCTTGTTCCTCGTAGCTTCTTACTTGCAGACATTCAACGAAGCGCTCGCTTCATCCACTTGGCTGCCACCTGGGCACATCCCCAACGTCCGTTGCTCTTGCCAGCCACTCCCAGGCGCCAAGGAAGAGGTCTTCCCTCACCAGAGCCCAAGAGCCCGAGCTACATGGAATGCCTCCAACCTAGTAGCAATGGCCTCCATCCTAAGAGCCCGAGGACAATCTCTTTTTGGACACGACAAAATTTTTCAGGCCTCGGCTCTTCAGCATTCTGGAGCCTCGTGGCAGAGACGTCCACGTTGAAGTCTTCGCTGGTGTTGGTGATGAATCCAATATGACGCCATGGAGGTGTCAAGAGTTGGCGTATCCGATCGGTTTCGCCATAAAGAGCCCCTAGTAGCTTCTTGTTACTAGTAGCGTTCTTGCTCCTAGTAGCGATGCCAGGAGCCCCTAGTAGCTTCTTGTTACTGCTCCAAATGTTGAACTATGAAAATGCAATGTTTCGCGCGTGCCATTTCCGTACGCCGAATCAACTGCGATACTGGAAGAATTGGCGTCGAACGATGCAAGCAATTGGGTGCGCTTGGTCGAGACACGATGATGTTCAAAGGCCAAAGGTCGAGTACTGTGACGTGCGCTTTGACTGCCCACGCTGAAAAGGCCGGAACATCGGTCGCCCAAGCTGGCTAAACCAGTCAAAGAGACCGAACAAGCGTAAAAACATGTCGACTTCGCGTTTGACTTTACCACTCCTTTGGACCTCTCACAAGTTGGGCGCATTTGTATTCCTTGAAATTCTTCGCGTAATGTCGCTTCTTGCCACTGCTGGTTGTAGTTGGTCGTCGTCACGACTGGCAGGCTGATTCGGTCCACAGAGTGCTCGCACCACAATGGGATTTGAGCTGTCTGAATATGCGGGAAAGTGGATCCTCCAACTTGGTTGTGACGGTCTGTGACGGTGGATCCTGTTATCATTTCTACCCGTTCTGATTCCTGCATGTTTTTTACCCTTTCGTCCTTCACTTGGAAGAAACTGCCCCAGATGAACCAAAAACAACACTTATGAATTCAGGATTGGCGTAGGCGTAGTCCATGGCAGGAGGTTTTGGAGGAAGGTGCTTTCCTACGGCTTTTTCCTTGCCTTTGGCGGATCGGAGTGTGCAACAATGATCTGAATTTTCCTTGGCCTGGTGACTCAGCGTGGAATGTCGCTCGCCGCGGTCGGCCCAAGACTGTGCAGGCGCATACCCCACACGCGCGCTCCTTGCCACCCGCGTGTGCAGGAGCATACCCGCCCACAACGCTTACGGACCGGGAGGCACCGCTTCGTCATATTTGACCTCGAGGTTGGCGGCTGGAAGCTGCCTCCTGTTGGGTTGGGCGAACGAAATGAGTAAAGGGGCGTCGCACACAAGGGAGGGGACAACGGGACGCGAAAAAGGGGACGCGAAAGTCATTAAAATGTTCGACGAGGCGTGAAAGGGGCACCCCATATGGGGCGTGAGGTCATGCACTGATGCGGTTTGTTGGCGGCAGCGAGCAAGTTTTGAATTGCTTGGGGGTGCTTTTTTCTTTCCTCGGTGAAGAGGCCTAGTTGCTGGATTCAACGAGAGCACCCCATATGGGGTGGGAGTTCATGTGGATGAGACAGGCACAACGAAGGAGGAAGACGTGAGCAGCAACGTTCTCAAATACGTTATCGCGCAAGTCGACTCAAGGTCATGTGCCGCACACTGTCCAGCGGAGTTGACGGGTTGGCGCGAACCTGTCCAAAGACAATGGCCGAACCTGATGGAAAAAAAATCCAGCAGACGCCGCCCACCTCAATTTTGTTTTTCTTCTGCGCTTCCTTCTTTGCCCCTGCAGTTTTTTCTTTTTATCACTTAGAAAGTCTATGTTTATATGTATATATACACATATATGCCCCCTCACGAAAGCCAGCTGATAGCCCATGGGCC